CTCCCCGTCCGCATCTGCCTCCGCGCCGCTCGGATCGTGGCTGCGCTTCGGCGCGTTCAACCCGGACGGCTACCGCAGCACAGACGACTATTTCGACTCCTTCGACGCGTTTCTCTTCTACTGGCCCGACGCGCCCGCGTCGCCACCCTTCGCACCCGTCTCCACCGCAGAAACCGACGCTCCCGCTCCTTCCGCTGCCGCGACCCCAGGAAAAACCCCACTCAAATGCACGTGGGGGGAGGGCGAGTGGGGCATGCCGGAGCTTCTACGCAAAGTAGGAGGCAGCGGCGCGGCGGTATTCGACTACGCACGTGGCGGCCCGCAGTTTGGCGCGGACGGGCTGCTGATTGGCCCGCCGCTCACGCCCGTCATGGGGGGCCTTGCTGGGCCGGACTCCAACTCGGGCGTGGGGGATCTGAGCACGGCGCGGTCGCGGCTGGGGCTGTCGTATGAGAAGCGGCGGGACGGGGAGGACTCGGTGTTTGGGGAAGGGAGGGAGGTGAAGGTGGCGGAGGTGCTGGTGTTCTTCAGCCCCGAGATTGCCCGCTTGTATTGATGATTCCGATGGTCGTCGGTTAAACGTGGTGATGATTGCGGGTACAGAAACGACTTTTGAGGCGCCTCAAAAGTCGGGAGGGAGAGGTGAAGGTGGTCGTGTTCTTCAGCCCCGAGATTGCCCGCCTGTACCTAATAATTATTTTGATTTTGACTCTGATTGATGGTTGTTGAAGAGGGGAAGGGGGGGGGGGGGATGGGGGGGGGGGGGGGGGGAGGAGGGGGGGGAGTTTGGTGGGGATGGGGCAACGGAGTGGTGTTTGGTGGTGGGATAGAGGTGAAGGTGGCGGAGGTGCTGGTGTTTTTAAGCCCGGAAATTGCTCGCTTGTATCGATTGTGTCTGATGGACGGATGGTTGTGTTGTGTTGCATGTTTGAAGGAACGGAGGGTGGGAGGGGATGGTGAAGTAAACTGGTGGATGGATAGGGGGAGAGGGAGAAGCAGCATGCACTGCAACGCGATGCTGCAGTGTAGTTTGGAGAATGAAGGGAAAGGAATGCAAGGGAGACAAAGGGAGCACCGTACTGTTGGTGCTGCTGTGCTGCTCTGCCACTGGTAGTTAATAATGTACGATCCATCAGCATGTGTGGAGCTGTGCTTGCAACTGCAAGCAGACTTGGCAGGTCTTTTATGGTACTACCTGCTTGTACCTTCAGTATACTTCTCATACGGTAGTATTCCCACGAGAGAACTGACTTGATACTACAGCAATGTGCGGCCGCTGAAGCATGACAATACAGCACTAATGTGAGAGAGGCAATTCTATCAACATCACTAGTGCTTCTTCTGCAGGTGAATGCCTGCATGACCTGAATCCTTGTTCAGCATCAGCAGCATTCAAGTTACCGTAGCACATGGCTGCAGCATGAGCGGTTTAGCGGATGCATGAGCCAGAATTCTTGGTCTGCCCAGACCAAGAATTACAGGACGAGGCATGCAAGCAATGGCGAGGGTAGAGGCAGGAAGATGAGCAGTGAGCGAAACAAGGACACAGAAAGAATTGACTGAGCTGCCTTTAGAAGAGTGTCATCTACAGTAATCTACCGGTATTTCAACTCCACAGGACCTTCCCTTCATGGGCAACCTTCCTTCTTCCATCCACTGCCTGTCCTCTCTGTGTTTCAGACTCTCTGAATGCCCGTTGCAGGACGGGTCACTGAACTGACCCACCACCAAGCAGCATCGTCGTGGGGGCAAAAGGATGACACACCCCTCCTGCAGCATGCCACCCTTCTGTGGCTGTGCAGTTGCTGCCATGCTGTTGATGCTACTGCTGCTGCCTCTTCCAACTGAATAAACTGCCTTACCACATGTAGGCACCACCACCAGCACCAGCACCACAGCCGTCATAACAACTACCAGCAGCATCACATCGCATGCGCTGAACCACCACAGCCACACCTCTATCTCCGTTTCCCATGCCTCATGCCACTACACACTGCTCGTGCCACTACACACTGCTCGTGCGCCCCACTCCTTGCGCACTCCATCATTTCTCCTCTCCTCCTGCTGGAGGCAAGCAAGACACGCGCCACGAGGGAGCAGCTGCATGCGCTGCATTTCCTCTCTCTTTCCACCCTGCTTCCACCCCGCTTCCACCGCACTTTCACCCCTCTTCCACCCCCGTTCCACCCTGCTTCCAACCTGTTTCCACCCTGCTTTCATCCCCTGCTTCCACCCCCGTTCAACCCTGTTCCACCCTGTTTCCACCCTGCTTCCATCCCCTGCTAGCGCGCACAACTCTGCCAGAACCACAGCTATTGCTATCCTTATCTCTACCTATCCACGTGCCACGTGCTATCCAGTATGCACTCAATCATGCCCAACCCTGTCAGCGGCCGGCCTCTATAGATGAAGAGCTGTCCACTCCGGGTTGGGCCATGGGGGATGCGGGGGGAGGGGAGGTGGCGGAGAGAGAGGAGGAGCGGAAGGAGGTGCGCGGGGCCTTGGAGGAGGATGTGGAGGTGGGCGAGTGGATGGGCTTTCTGCGCTCTATGATCTGCGGGGGGGTGGGGATGGGAGGGGGGGAGAGGGGGGGGGGGGGGGAGTGGGGAGTCGATTGCATGGGGGGTGCCTACTGAGGCGCCAAAAAAAGGGGGCGAATGCATGGGCTTAATGCACTCGATGATCTACGAGGGAGAGGGTTGGGGGGGAGGAGGAAGTTGGCGTGTGGGGAATCGATCATTGAGGGACAACCACGTTAAAAACAGAGTGAGGACGAGGCATGTCCGACCGGACCAGGTTGCGTCGTGTGCAGCCAGACAGATATAGGGGGTAATGGAATGTGAAGGTTCAGGTCAGGCAGTAAGGAGGGAGGAGCAACGGAATTGCCGAAAACAGAGGCCAAACGAGGGGAGACGAGTGGAGAAGAGGGGAGATGAAGGAAGAAGAAAGTAGGAGGAGGGAAGAAGAGGGGAGAAGGAAGAGGAGGAAGGGTTTAGCGGAGAAGCGGGGAGGGGAGATGCGGGGTGAAGAGGTAAGAAGAGGGCAGAAGAGGCGGGAAGGAAGGGAAACGAGCAATAAAGAGTTTGGAAGAGGCAAGGAAGGAAGGGCACACCTTGGGGCCGCGGTAGTGTCCCCGTTGCACGACAAAGTCATCTGACGGCTGAAACTCCTCCAGCCAGCAGAACGGATTGCCCCTCTCCCCGTTCACCCCTGGGGGGAGCGCGCCTGACAGCAGACGCAGTGGGTGGGGTGGTTGAGGAAGGTAGCAGAGGGAAAGGAAGGAAAGGAGGGAGCAGAGAGCGGATGGGGAGTGGTTTGGCAGGTTGAGGGACACCAACATAATGAGTAACGTGGTGCACACGAGGAGCTAATGCCAGCAGCGGAGGGTCATGGCAGCAACGAGTGCAGACGACAGGCAAAAGGCAGGCAAGCAGCACAAGCACAAGCAGCAGCAGCAGCAGGAGTTGTTGCAGCAGGAGCAGGAGCATCAGGAGAAGGAGCAGCAGGAGAAGGAGCAGCAGGAGCAGGAGCAGGAGCAGCAGGAGCAGCAGGAGCAGGAGCAGCAGGAGCAGCAGCAGCAGCAGCAGCAGCAGGAGCAGCAGGAGCAGGAGCAGCAGGAGCAGCAGGAGCAGGAGCACGCACTGAGCGAGGAGAGCTCATGGAAGTAGCTGCAGTGGCGGCCGGCGTCGGCATTGTACGGCGGGGCGAGCACGTCCAGCACGGCGCAGGGCGTGACAGCAGTGAAGGCGTGCAGGTTGCCCCCGCACGTGGGGTGCAGCACCTCCGTGGCACACGGCGCTGTCAGCACCTGGTCCTCCACCAACTCCGCTAGCCGCGCTGCGGGGGGGGGGGGAGAGGGGGGGTAAGTGGGTGAGGGACATTTGCGACGTCTGGAAGACAACACGTGGGGTGCAGTGCAGCACCTGCGTGGTGGCACACAGCGCTGTCGTCCTCCACCAGCTCTGCTAGCCGCCGCACTGCACAAGGGGGAGGTTATGGCGGAGCGGAGGGACTGGGGGAAAGGGGAGTACTGAGATGTCTGACATCTCGCACATCCGTTGCTGGCACACACACACGGCGGCACTGCCAGCACCGCACCTGGTCCTCCATCGGGGTGTTTTTGAGGATTCTCACAAACACCCTCCAGCACCTGGTCCTCCACCAGCTCCTCCGCGAGCCGCACCGCACTGCCCCGAGAGAGAGAGGTTGGGGGAGTTTTGAGACGTCTCAAAACCCACACGTGGGGAGCAGGAGCAGGAGCAGGAGCAGGAGCAGGAGCAGGAGCAGAAGGAGCAGGAGCAGGAGCAGGAGCAGAAGGAGCAGGAGCAGGAGCAGGAGCAGGAGCAGGACTTCCGTGGCGAATGGCGCTGCCAGCCATCACCTGGCCGTCCGCCTCTGGGGAAAAGGGGGGGATGGGGGAGGGATTGTGGGGAGGATGGTGTGGGGTGGGTCGGGGAGATTGGGAGGGGTTGGGGGAAGACAACGGGAGGGATGAGAGGAGGGATGGGAGGGGGGAAGGGTTGGGGGGGGGAAGAGGGGGGGAGGGATGGGGAAAGGATGGCGGAGAGATGGGCGGAGACATGGGGGTAGAGATTGGAGGAGGAGATTGAACGTGGTGGGATGGAATGTGGTAGCGGTGGCAGTGAGAGGGAGGGTGGCTGCGAGGTGGTGAACTGAGGGCAGGCGAGGCGACACAAGGAGGAGTTTAGAAACGCTGTGAAAACTCCTTGAAACGACTCCGAACCGAGGCAGACAGCTGAGTGAAGTGAACCGCTATGAGGCGCTGAATCTCAGGCGCCTCATGAATACGTCGCCCCGCCGTAACCCACCCTCAAGCATGGGTTTTTTTAGGTAAAAAGACGGGTGACTGAAACTACGTGGGTGAGAACTCATGCTACATGCAAGACAAGCGGGGCCAGTATAATGGTTGGGTGGGCGGCCGTGGGAGGGTGGGGAGAGTAAAGAGAGAGGGAACACAGAACAGAACAGAACAGAACAGAACAGAACCGCCAGAAACGCAGCATACCATCAGGCGTCGCAGAAGCAGACGTGGCAGCAGCAGCAGCGGCAGCAGACGCAGCAGCAGCAGCGGTGGCGAGGGCGGCGGAGGAGGCGGCGTCATCGATGGGGCGCACCCAGTCGAAGGAGCGGATGTGCATGGAGCCGTACAGCAGCTTCGACAGCACCGTCATACCCGGGTGGTTGTGCAGCGGTATGCGCGCCGACGCCGGCAAGCAGAATATGCCGATCTGTGGAGCAATGCGGGGGGGAAGGGAGAGGGGGGGGGGGGGGGGGGGGGGGGAGAGAGGGGGAGGGAAGGGAGGGGGAGAACAAATTTGAGACGTCTCAAAAGCTGGGCAGCGGTATGCGCGCCGACGCCGGCAAACAGAATATGCCGATCTGTGTGGTAGTGTGGGGACGGCGGGGAGGGTGGGCGAGGGTGGGCGAGGGTGGGCGAGGAGGGGAAGCGGGGAGGCGAGGTAGGGAAAAAGGGGGTGTGGGTAGGGTGAAAGGGGGAGCGTGTGGGGGGGTGGGAAGGTGGGGAAGGGGCGAGGAGGAAGAGGGGGGTGAGGTGAGGGGAGAGAGCAGCTGCGCTGTCACGGCTGGGTGAACGCCTTGTGGTGCAAGGCAACCGCTGGAGTGGCTCATGGTGTGGCAGCGGCACCGCAATGCATTCCAATGCCACATTGGAACCGTATAGAGGTGCGGCTGGGACTGAGATTCTTCTTCTACTCCAGAGAGAGCCTGTGCCGTGCCCTCAATCGCTGTCGTTTTCCTCCGTCGACAATAGGCTGACAGTCGGATAATACAACCATGAGACATGCGTGCTGTGTTCACAGCTTGCCCACCACCACACCACCCAACCGGACCTGGACCCAAACCTCAACCCGGACCTCAACCCAGCCAAACCCCAACCTGATCCAGACAGAACCCCATCTTGGGCCGACGTTAGCCCTGATCCCAACACTGTCCGCCATGCCGCTGAAAGGCATTGGCATAACTTAATGACGCGGTTCACTCTTTCAGCATTCCTGGAAGGCTTTCGCTCCCAACTCGTTAGTTTTAAAGCCGTGAGGGAGAGTGCGGCGAGCGAAAGCGAGGGATACGTGATGGAGGAATGCTCGAGAGAATCTGAACGAGAGAGGGAGGGAGGGTGAGAAGAGTGAGAAGTAGGGAGAAAACGGAATAGTGGTGAAGGTGGGGGAGGAGCGGAGGGAGGGAGACAGGGAAGGCGGGATGGAGGGAGGGAGGGAGGGAGGGAGGGAGGGAGTGAGGGAGGGAGGGAGGGAGGGAGGGATGGCTGGCGGGAGAAAGTAAGGGATATAGGGAGGGAGCAAGAAAGAAAGGTTTAAAGAGAAGGGGGGGAGGAAGGAGGGAGGCGAGAGCAGCGAGGAGCGATACTGCGGAGGGTGGGCGGGGGAAGTAAAGGGTGTAGGTGAGCCGGGGGGGAGCGGAGAGGGAAGGGGGAGGGGGGGTTGAAGAGGGGAGGGGACCAACGAGCCATAGCTCGTCCGCCGAAACAGCCGCTGCACCCTTGACGTGTCTCCACGTGCTAGCCTGGGCTGGACCCGGCGGTAGCACGGGCAGCGGGGAGGGACGCGAGGCGAGGCGAGGCGTACCGAGAAGTCCTCACACTCGTAGACGTGCAGGTACGTGATGGCGGGAGACCACCGCGCCTGCTTTCCCCCCGAAGCCACCACCGCCGCCGCCGCCGCCGCCGCCGGCGCTGGCCCTGGTCTCCGGCTATCCTGCCCGCGCGCCCCCCCTTTCCCCCCCCGCCCGCCTCCCCCTTTCGCCCCGGGTGCCGCTCTGACAGGGGAGCCCTCCGCCCCTGCCGCCCCCGCCGCCATGGCCTCTAGCCCTACGTCCGCCGGGCGGATCGCGTCTGGCGGGGAGGCAGGCGGAAGAAGCAGCGGCGCGGGGGTTTTCCGAAGTGGGGGACGGAGGGGTTGGGAGGGGAGGGAGGGGGTGGGGGGGGAAGGGAGAGGGGTTTTTTTCATCTAAAGAGAAAATACAACGAACCTTTTACTACAGCCGCTATGGCCCTCCGGGCCTGTATCCGCGAGCAAGACGGCCGGTTGGAGGAATGCAGGGATTGCGAATCGTGGGAGTGGAGTCAGGTAGGTGGTAGATGGGTCCGTGAGCGGAAAGGAAGCGAGGTCGGACAGAACAGAAGTTGTATAGCCGGTCCATGAAATCAAAGGCTGGCGTTGCGACGACGCGACGCGTCCATACCTAGAATGGTCCGGACCCGTTGTAACGCTTGTGCGTCGGGTAGTTGCGAGCCAACAAAAGCGGCTCGGCACGCATCGTGAAGCTTCTGCACTTTGGGCATGGCTGCTGCGCGGTCGTCGCCGTCGCCGTCGTCGTCGTCGTCGTCGTCGTTGTCGTCGTCGTCGTCCGGCGACACAATACTACAACAACACCGCGCGACAACAGCCCGACGCGCCCGACGTGCGGAAACCCTAATCCCACCCCTCCTGCTACCCCCCCAGCTACTCCTGCTGCTATTGCTGTCCCCGCTGTCACTGCTCCCGATGCACCCCCCGCTGCTGCTACTACCGACAACCGCGCGACTCGCTCCGCGTCGACGGCAGCAATCCGCTCGCGCTCGTGACAGCGGTCGACGAGGTCGGCCGCCGCTTTCCCCACGCTCTATCAACCCCAACCCTGTCGCAGCAGCACGGTTGCGACTCCGCCCACTGTGACTTTGCCGGCCGGAAGCTATAGTAACGAGAGGTGCGAAGCTCGGCGCGCAAGAGAAGGTGCGCGAAAGGGTAGTCAGGGGCGAGATGGGCGAGAGGGGAGAGCGGCGCGAAAAAGCTGGGAGCGGAGGGAGGGGAGACCGGGTGACGACGGTGGTGGAGCGGAGGGGGGTTGCGAGGTGGGTCGAGCGCGGATTAGGGTTACGGCGGAAGTTGAGGCTCACGAACGCCGGTAAGGAGGGTAGTAGCGGCGCTCGAGACGCATGATCATGGGTGACAGGGAGGGGTGAAACAAATCGGTGGAGAGCGGTGACGGCAGCAGCGCGTGGCAAAGGCGAGCGGGATGGGCGCAGACGAGCCACCAGCGGTCGGAGAGGCGAGAGAGCAGAGGGCGCCACGATGGCAGCGATGGGGAACGATGGAGGGGAATAGCGGCGGAGGGAAAGGGATATATTGTGGTACGTCTACTTATTGTCGGTTCTGTACGTAAATGCTTATGGACGCCGTGTGGAACAACGCGCGGTTGTTGACAAAACGGCGCTTATCGGTCAGTCACCCTCGATCACGGAAATGGCGAAAGGCAAGCTCGAACGACCTCCAGGGAACGCAAAGCCCATCAGCCTTAAAGGAAACGAAAAGAACAGAAGACAAATCCCCCCTCCTCCAAAAAGTAAAAAATGGCACGGATATTTGTGCTTGCACGAACTAAAACCCTTATTAGTTCCCTGTTAGACCATGCGCGGTAAGCGATGAATGTGACACGCCTGATGAACCGAGCGCGCCGACCTGATACTCTAACGCACCGTTGCGTGAACCTCGCAACCATCCAGCACCCTCAACCACATCTCCACCAAACCACTATTATCTTGACGCTGTGACGCAGAGAGCTCTCAAGACGGCCAACTGGATTATTGACGATCAGCTGAGGTATGGTAACCAGCCATTTCACCAGCCTCCACAACACAACAGCAGAAGCCTACCGAGCAGGGCTGTCGATTGCAGGGCGTTTGCCCTGCTGGACCTTGAATTCCAGGGCTGGGTTTCCCTTGGAAACTGAAATTGATGGGTTGGAAATATTCTGGCCCTGATTCTTACAGGGCTATTTTGGGCTTAGGCCTGGTGTTGAGGGTATTTTATGACGTGTTGCGACCCACACGGATTGGGTCGACCACCCCCCGACCCATCACTTCTAGGAAGGCTGCATCGCGGGTCTAGCCGACCAGGTCGAGCCAACCAGACCCGGTTGGGTCTGCCTGACCTGGGTCGACCAGGTCGGCTCAACCAGGCCAACCAGACCCAACCCAATCGAGCTGGAGAAGGTTACCATAGTCTGCGAACTTCAGAGTTCTCGCGCAAATGTCGCCTCAAATTCGCCGCACAGAATGATACCCTGTAATATCGATGCGAATTTTCCAGCTCACCATCCCCCCGCCCGGCAACTGCTTTCCTGGTCCCTCGAGGATGCACGGAAATCGACGGAAAATTCCGTGATTTCCCGAGTCGCGTTTCCGAATATCTGGTCGGGTTGGGTTTAGCCGACCAGGTAGCCCGACCCAACCCAATCTCTTTGGGTCGCAACACGTCGTTAGGCGAGCCCTGGAACAAAATCTTTTGAGCCCCTCCTTCCCCTCCCCTCCCTTCCCCCAACACTCCTCCCTCTCCTCCCCTTCGTTTCTAACCTGATTGCATCCAACCTGGTTAGGCCACAAATTCAACTCAACCTAGAACTTGTGCTTAAACCAATCACAACTCGCTCTCTGTGGAGTGGGTAGATGGTAGGCTGGGTAGAAGTGCACAAGATCATCGGTTCTGCAAAGGATAGGAAGCCTGCAAAGCGTGCGTAGTGATATGACGCTAACTAATTTTCTTCGTCGTGTTTGCTTGCTTGTGGTTCATCTCAAACGAGTTGTAAGCTTGGTAGTTGAAATGAGGCTCTGGAATTTTCCGCGCGAAACCTGATTCAAGGAAGGAAAATTTTCCATCCCTGAAGCCTAAAGGGCCGAGATCCTCCCCAACCCTGCTAAATACAGGGTCATAAATGACGGGCCCCCTAATTTGTCCGGGGGGCCCAAAACGAAACGACAGGCCTGCTACCGAGAGCAAAAAGTTTCGAGGATAACAGTGGGGGGGAGGGCAGGGCAGTGGTGAGGGGAGGGGGAGAGGGTGACACGACACTCCGGTTCTCATCTGATGCAATAGATGCCCTATCTCAAAGTTAGCGAACAACGGAATGATTGGAATAGAAACGAATGGGGTACAAATGAGCAACCCTAGAAGCTGTACCCCCTAGAGTGCAACTCACTATAGCCTATCATATCAATGTTCAACATTTGACACACCCCCATAGGCTAAGTGAGGGGCATCAAAGCAAGCAAGGTGAACAAACGGTCACAAGACCAGTCAAACCAAGAACCAAGGCAAGCTCAGGGTGGATCTCAAGGACACCACACAAATTCCGAGCGCAAGCAAGCGGCCACAAGGCCAGTTCAAGAGTTCACTAGGATATAAATACAAAGCACAACAAGCAGAGCAAGCAACAGGACTACACCAACCGAGGGCCTACCTCAACAAGCCCCAACTGCACACAGAACCTGTGGTGGTCACCAAGCGCCAAGGCCTTGGTGAAGACGTCTGCAGTGTTGGCCTCTGAGGCCACAAAGTCCAGACGTGCCTGACCGCGTCGCTGCAGCTCTCGCAGGAGGAAGTACCTCACGTCAATATGCTTCACTCTGCTCTCCAGTCGAGGCTCTCGACACAGGAGGATCATGGCCTTGTTGTCAGCGTACAAGGTCGGTGCAGAGCGAGGCCGCTCACCAAGGTCAGCGAGCAAGAAGGTCAACCAGCGAAGCTCCTGTGCCGCCATGGCACCAGCGTAGATCTCTGCCTCTGCACTGGAAGTAGCCACAGACGACGACCGTGTAGACCTCCACGACACAGCACCAGCTCCCAGACTGAAGCAGTAACCCTGAGTCGAACGCTGAGTCTCCACGTCGTCAGCGTAGGAAGAGTCGCAGTGACCAGTCAACGCCACTGGCTGAGTCCCTCCAAGCACAAGCCCCAAGCCTGATGTAGTCGCCAGGTACTTCGCCACCCTCACAGCAGCTGTCCAGTGGACAGGGCGGTGTCTCCCAGTCGCAACAAAGCGAGAAAGGATGCTGAGTGGAAAGGCGAGGTCCGGTCGAGTACAAGTCATCAGGTACATGAGGCAGCCCACCAGCTCTGCGTAGGGTCCACTGGACTCAAAGGGCTCGTCAGGAAAGGGGCCCGTGAGTCTGTGGTCAACAGCAAGAGGAGTGGGCTGTGTGGTGGAGAACTGGAAGTGGAACCGCCGAAGGACCTGCTGCACCATGTGTGACTGCGTCAGTGTGATGGTGCGAGCGGCTCTGTCCCGGGTGATCTGCAGGCCAAGGTAGCGCTGCAGCTCACACAGGTCAGTGCACTTGTGTCTCTTCTGCAGTTCGGACTTCACCTGAGCCAGGGCTGCCCTGTCTGCTGTAGCAAACACCAAGTCGTCGACATAGACAAGGATAAAGAAAGGAGTAGAACCCGCTCGAACAAACAGCGACGGGTCGGCGGAGGACGGGCTGAACCCAAGGTCACGAAGCGTGGAGCGAAGAGTGTCGTGCCACTCACGGGGCGACTGGCGGAGACCGTAGACTGGTCGCCTCAGGCTCCACTGGGTCCCAGGTGGGAAGGTGTCAGTGAAGCCAGGAGGACGGCGCAGCCAGATCTCCTCGTGTAGTCGGCCCTGGAGGAACGCAGTGGAGAAGTCGAGGGAGTGCAGCTCGTAGTCTCGCTGCGCTGCTATGTGGAGTAACACCCGAAGAGTAGTCATCTTCGGGGTCGGGGCGAAGGTCTGGAAGAAGTCAACTCCCTCACGCTGACTGAAGCCCCTAGCCACGTAGCGCGCCTTGAACACCGGCGGTGCTCCAGGCGGCCGCTTCACCTTGAAGAGCCACATGCCATCGACTACGTTCGCCCTGGGAGGGGGAACTGCGTCGACGTAGGTGCCTGTGGATCTCCAAGACGCCAACTCTGAGTCCATAGCCGCTTTCCACTGAGAGGCCCACGCCCCTGACACTGCCTCGCGGTAAGTGCGAGGAGTCGGTATGTCAAGGGTGTCGGGGTCTCCCTCAGGGGAGAGCAGCATGGCACACACAGAGGGAGAAGCGGCTGCCCAGTACTCCAGCTCAGACTCTCTATCCTCTAGGACGTCACAGCCAAGGGCAAACCCACCCCCGACGGACAGAGGACGGTAGGGAGGAGCTGGCACCACACGGGTGGCGCAGTCAAGGTGGCTGGCGGCAGCAAACTCAGCGACAGCGGCAGTAAGAGCCGAGGCAGACGACGGAGGGAAACGAGAGTCGGTGACAAGAGTGGCGAGGACACGTGCGGCAACAGGACGAACAACGCGGTAGTAGTCAGAGATAGGAGTGGGGAGGGCTGGTAGGGAGGACGGAGGAGGAGACGGGAGAACGGACACAGGAGAAGGAGAACGACGACGAGACGAACAAAGGAGGGCAGTGTGGAGGTCAGTAACAGGGGACGAGTGACGAGCACGCGGAGGACAACGAGTGATCAGGTCGCGACGGACAGAGGGAGGAGGAGACTGAGGAGGAGGAGAAGACCA